AACAATGCTGCAACCTGATATTTGATTCAATAAATATGCAATACATGTGAGTGATACATAGTTAGCTTTACCTGGCAGCTAGTTAGCACTTTATTGGGAAGAACAAAGAGCAGGGTAATGTTCTGTATTCATGCAATTATTTTCCCCAGTTAATCTGTTTTATTTTAAAATGTGCAATTATGTGTTCTGGAATATTAATAGTTTTGTTTCATTCTTGCCACCAATTTAAATTTTCTTACTACATTGATTAGAAACTTTCAGGAGAATGAGCATGATAGTGAGGATAGAGTACATCTGTTTTGGTGCAGGATTTCTCAACTTTGAAACTATTGACATTTTGGGATGGATAATAGAGGCCCAGTGCATGAAATTCATACACTGGGGGGTGGTCTCCTCAGCCTGGCCTGCACCCTCTAGTGTTCCAGGAACCCTCAGGGTCCCTCTCACGATCCAGGACCCCTCACTCCTTATCAGCTGCCTGCTCGCTGCTCCTTACTGTTCTGCTTGCTGCTCCTTAGAGCTGCCCTGGAGGCAGGAGAGGCTCCCACCACTGCTGCTGCACTAGCCAGTGGTGAGCCCGGCTTCTGGCTGAGCGGCGCTCCTGCTGTGGGAGCGCACTGCCCACCAGGGGGCAGCTCCTGCATTGAACGCTTGCCTCCTGGTGGGCAGTGCGCATCATAGTGACCAGTCGTTCTGCCACAACAGTCGCTTAGGCTTTTATTATATAGATTGGAGCTGTTTGGTGCATTGTAGGTTGTTTAGCAGCATCCCTGGCCTCTATCTACTAGACATCAGTAGTATCCTACCATTTGTGACAACCAACTGTCCTCTGGGAGCAAAATTGCCTGGAGTGAGAAACCCTGCTCTAATGTTTCAATATTAAATTGTTTATAGGTCTATTTTTTTGTGTGTTTGTACTCCTTGTGGGAGGAAAAAATTAATGCAAGCTTTCTGGAGAGAATTTTGGCACTGAGTATCAAAAGTTTAAAAAATATTTCTTCCCTTGACCCAATTACTTATTCTCTAGCAATTTATCCTAAGAAAATAATCAAAGGTGGAGACAAAGATTTATGTTCAGGGATGTCTATTGCTAAATTATTTATTATTGTGAAAGAATTGAAAGTAACCTTCTGTTTTTTAATAGGAATAGCTCAAGAAATTATAACTTATTATAGGATGGGATTTGTTTTCTCTCTAAAAAATTACGCTCTCCAGCTGGTGTGGCTCAGTGGTTGATTGTCAACCCATGAACCAGGAGATTGCAGTTCCATTCGCAATCAGGGCACATGCATGGGTTGTAGGATTGATCTCCAGTAAGGGGCATTCAGGAGGCAGCCAATCATTATTGGTTCTTTCTCATTATTGATGCTTCTATCCCTCTATCCCTCTATTTCTCTCCATTCCTCTCTCTGAAATCAATAAAAATATATTAAAAATTATGCTCTTGTAGAATATTAACAGCAAAAACAGAGTAGATAAGAGCAACAACAGAAATAGTTAACACATTGTAATGCCTTGGGTAGCCATTAGGACTGTTAAAAAATATAATGGTTTTTCTCTCCTAGTGACATGATATATGATCGGTATTTCTACAACCCTTATGAAAGTAGACATAGCTATGTGACTTGCTGTGACAAGTGAAGTGTTAGTGAAATTGATAGGATAATTCCTTTGTGGTTAGTCGTTAAAAACCTTATGACTTTTGCCAATTTTTTTTAATTCATTGTATAAGCATGTACTGAGAAGCTAGAGATCCGAATTGGACAAGTAGCATGAATAAGGAATAAACTTTTATTGGGTTAAGATTTTTGGTATTATAACTCAAGCATAATTTTTTAAGCAAAGCACGTAGGCACTGTACTTGAATTACAATCTGTGAAGTGGTCAGAATTAGTAGCCTCATTATTATGAATGAGGAAACTGAGGCACAGAGGGGTTATGTCCAAATTCACATTATTGGTAAATCTTAAGGAGCAGCACTATGTGGGATGGTTTTGCACACTCTGCTGCTGTGTTTGGTTTGTTTAATTGCTTTGTTCTTTTAGTTGCTTGCTTAGAGGAGGAGAGAGTCTGTTAGCATCTCTGGATATGCTTTTGACATTTGGTATTTCATGCCTGTGAAATTGTGGAGATTTTTTAATTGGTTGATTTTTGAGACTAAATACAAAAACTGCATTTAAAAGCATTTCTGCATGCCACATGGAAAGTCTTTGATGATGTGTTGGCATTTGAAGAATTAAGCATCCAAATGAGGGAATAGTTGTTGCATGTGATGGGGAAGAATTTAACTGGCAGTAAGGAAGGATTGAGGAATATCTACTCAGATCCCTCTTGGCCCTTGTATCCTTTGAACACTTAATTGGATTTTCCTTCCAACATCTTTTATTGTCTCCTGCAGTTTGAATAGGAAGCAAATTCATGGAGTGTATTTGTGAATTATGAACAGTCATGTTGAACTTTGGGAGACAGGTCTGAAGCAGAGCTGAGGAAGAGTATCCTGGGAGGCTCTGAGAGGGAGAGAAAGAATAAGAAATTGGCTCCAGCCTGTCCATCTCCCAGGCCTCAGGGACACCCTCCTCTGAGCCCTCCTGGCAGTAAGGTCTGTACCAGTTGTCCTGTCTGTATCCAACAAGCACTGCCTGCTCATGTTCCCTAGCTTCTTAGTTCTTTGTCCCTATGCTTTCCTTCAGCCCATAAACAAATGTCCTGTAGTTGCCACTTTGATTCAATCCCTGATATAGACCTCTGGATGTAGAAAACAGTAAGTATTTATGAATTACAGTTGAGCAGGAAATGGGGATTTTTTTGGAAGTTGGACTGAACATGCTTGCTCCATCTCTACGGTATCCTCTGAGAGATTTTTCTGAAGGAAACAATAGTTGGCCATCACAACCTAAAAAATGCTACCAGGAAAGTCTGTTGGTCAATGAAAGCTAAGTTTATTAGACTTATCCCAGTTAGGGAACATGGTACCCTGACAATGTTAACAGTAGCTAAGAAAGAAAAGTCAGAGAGGGCACTTATTGGGTTTAGGACTTGGAATGGCAGAAAACTAGTTGGTATTGGGCAGAGTTTATGACTTAATTTTATGTAATAGAAAGGTGAGGGTCTTGAGATATACATTTGATGTGAAAGCTGTTAGTTTCATAGCTTCAGAGTCTTGTCTTCTGGGTGCCAGTATTTTCTGGATCTACCATAGTAGCTATTTTACTTACTTACTTATTTAGCCTGGTTCCAGTATTGTTTAGAACTGAGGAGAAAAATGCATTTGTGTGTAAATATTTTTCAATTAAGTTGACAAGTAAAAAAGAAGGAATGTTTAGTCCCAGTATTGTTTAGCAGAGGACATGAAAGTTTACTGGTTTCAGTTCTGAGGGTGGATAGAGAACCTGGTTGATCTTTTGGAGGCTCTATGTTTGTGCCCCAGCCATTAGCAAGTATCTTTTCGCTAATCCTTCCCACAATTAGGATCTGCTCCATTTTCATGGTACTGATCATGAAAGTATGAACTGAATTATTTAAACCAACTGCGGATGTGCTAAGGTGATAATATAATCCTCTAGCAGAAAAGATTTAGTCTTCTGCTTTTCAAACTCACAGCCTAAATGAATCAAGTCTCTTTCAATGAGTGAAGTGGTCTATTTATTTTGTTTCTGGTCAATCAGAAATAATTTGACATTTGCATTTGTGGTAGTTCCTTTTCCAAAGGGTTGACCTTACATTGGTATATAAATGGTTCTTCCCCAAATGGGGGTGTTTCACCACAAGAGTTAATAAGTTACTAATTTAAATAAATGATTTTCAACTTTGTCTTTATGCCAGTTGGGGAGTAATCCCTACTCTTAAGTAAAACATTCCATGCTTCTTGAATGTACTGGTACAAAGACCTCTTCCTTGGGAATATACTAAATAGGGTGGGTTATTTTATTTATTTGAATCATTAGCCATTGCATCCTTGCCCCAACTGGCATAAAGACAAAGTTGAAAATCATTTATTTAAATTAGTAATTTTATGCACCAGTGATTTGTGAAATGCAGGCAGAGTAGAACTGAACAATAAAGAAACATGCCTGTGCCCACAGAAAGATAAATTATACAGTCATCATCTGGAATTTAAATGACATGTTTTCATCTTGGCTTGCAAATAATAGTTAATGGTGATAAGGGCATAGCAATCCTAATGTAATTTCTTCTCTGTAAATATGTGTTAAAATGATGAAGCTATTTTCAGTTCAAAAGATGACTTTAAGAGAACTAAGTTAGAGGGCTACGCCAAACAAAACAAACTTAGAATTCATTTGTTTTCTTTGAAAAAGCAACTTTTTAGTCCTCCTCTATTTATTTTTGTTTTCTTAGGATATCAGCATTTTCTCTGCATAATAAATAAAAATCATCATCATCATCATCATCATCATCATCATGTCACTTGTTGAGTAACTACAATGTGATAGGCATAGTGCAAGACCCTTTAATTGCATTATCTCAATCAATCCTGTTAACAGCTCCATGAGATAGGTATTATTACCTCATTTCCAGATGATAAATTTGAAGGTCAGAGAGATTATATTATTTTCATTGCACATTGTTTCTCTCAAAGACTTATGAGTCATTGAATGTTAGAGTCAGAATGCAACTTAGAAACCATCCAACTTTACTGATAAGGAAGCATAGGGGGAAAAAGGAAATGACTTGAGTGGAATATTATTGTGGGTTGCACGTTGTGGTGGAATTGGATATTCAACATTCATACTAGGTCAACATTGGTAATCTCCACTCAACATTCCCCCCCCCCCCCCCCATTAATGACTCAAGAAGGGACAATTATAGTCAGTGAAGTGTGAGAGTAAGAATGCTGTAGGGCCTCCAGGAACATTTTCACTGATCCTTAAAGAACTATAAGGAAGAAGGTAGCCATCTTTCCATTAGTCCAAGAAATGTTCCAACACTAAGGTTGGTAGAGTGGAGAATAGAAAGCACTTATATTTCTTTTCTTTTTTCATTTTTATAGACTGGAAGGTAAATGAATAGAGCAACACTTTCTATCCAATCATCTTCCCTTGTCTGTGTTTTAATGTCCCAAAGTTTAAGTAACAGAAAGCACTTGTGTTCTTGATACCATTGTTGTACCTCTAATTCAATGAAATTTGAACCTCATCCTACTTCTGGACTCTATAGTTATGTATAAGATCTATAGTTATATAGTTATAAGTATCTGGTTATAAATAAATTTTCTAATGACTTAATTCAGTTTCAGTCAGGGTTTTGACTTGCTGCTGAAAGGACATAAACATTCGGCTTGCAATTCTCGCTCTCTCTCTCTCTCTCTCTCTCTCTCTCTGTCATGATATGATCAGGGGGAGTGCTGGAAAAGAGAGAAATGAAATTTGAAAGCAAACCAAATTATTTTAAGTGGAAAAGGATGAGACCAGGAGGGACAGCCTGAGAAGATGAAGAAACCAGCAAGAATTGAGATCTGGAGAAGTGGGAAGAAGAAGAGAAAGAGGAAAAGGAAGAGAAACAGATGCTTTGATGGATAGTTTTGGAGAGACTTGAAGTATACTTTTTGAAAACTCTGCTTTGTTGTGTCATGTGAAGCTCTGGTTTCCGGCTTCTCAAGAGACACTTTGGAATTCATTTTGTCTAGTTCTAAGAAAAATAGTCACTATTCTTATTCCCATCACATTGCATTATATAGTATACAAATTACTTTTGGGGGAATTGACAGTCTTCCCATACAAGGACAGAGTATGCATATTCATTCCTTCAATTTTTCTTACTTACCTCAGTTTTTTTTTCTTCATACATCTTGAATATTTCTTATTAATTTGAATCACTTCTATTCAAATTTATTCCTAGATATTTTATATTTTTGTTTCTCTTGTAATAGGTATCTTTTTCCCATGATATTTTCTAATAGCTTGCTGTTTTTATATAGGAATATTGTCTATATTTATATTATTATTATTACATACCACCTTATCTGTTTTTTATTGAAATTATTATGACATTAGAGTTATGATTCTCTTAGGCTTTCTAGATATACAATCATGTTATCTTCAGATAATAGTAATTTTATTTCATTCTATTTTTTTTTACTTTTAATTTTATTCTCTTAGATAATTTTATTGTCTTGCACCTCCATATGAATGTTAAATGATGTGGTATCAGTGGATGTCATTGACCTGTTACCAACTTTATTGATATTTGTAGTGTTTTCCTAGTGCTGCCTTAGTTCTTTATTTTTTAAAAATATATTTTTTATTGATTTCAGAGAAGAAGGGAGAGGGAGAGAGAGGAACATCAATAATGAGAGAATCATTGATTGGCTTCCTCCTGCATGCCCCCTGCTGGGGACTGAACCTGAAACCCGGGCATATGCCCTTGACTGGAATTGAACCTGGGACCCTTCCTTCTGTAGGCTGATGCTCTATCCACTGAACCAAACCAGCTAGGGCTGCCTTAGTTCGTTTAAAGTTGAAATGTATGTATAACCATAGCTATGTTTATCTCTATCTCTATTAAAAAGGAAGTATTCAGCTATTTCTATGGAAACCACCAAAACCAAGTTGTTTCTTTTGCCTGAGAATTTCCCTGTTTATCACTGAAAGTCCAACATCCTGGGAAACTCCTCATTTCCAGACAAACCAGGATGATTGGTCACTTGAATTAAAGTCAAGAATGAATGTGAATCTCATCTGGTCACTTTTCAGCATCGATGTGGCTACCTTATGATTTTCAATTAGACTGATTAATATGATTAATTATATCATATATTTTATAATATAGAACTGTCTTTTTCCTCTTGGCATGGACTCCACTTAATCATGTTTTATTAGTTCTCTCCTTGATTACTAGATTCTATTTGCTAACATTTTATGTTAGGTATTTTTGTCAGAGGTCAAAAATGAGAACAGCTTGTGGTTTTCATTTTTGTGTGTAATCTTTGTTGTGTCTGTGTGCCAATATTGTGATTTTTTAAATATTTATTTATTTATTTTTACATATTTTATTAATTTTTTTTTGCCCCTCTCTCTCCCTCCCACATATCCCCTCCCTCCCCAGAGTTTTGTGTCCATTGGTTGTACTTATATGCATGTATACAAGTCCTTCGGTTGATCTATTATCTCCTCCAGATCTTCCTCCCCTCCCCACTGTTATTTGACAGGCAGACTGCCAATATTGTGATTTCATACAAAACTTTGGAATCTTTCTTTCTTTCTTATGTGTTTTACAACAATTTAAATAACATTGGCTTTGCTATCCTATAAACTTTTGGTGGCTTTCCCTGTAAAATCATTTGGACTTGGTCTTTTTGCAATGGGTAGCTATTTGATTTTTTTTTTCAGTCCACATCCCCTCCTGTTCACAGTAGTGATTCATTTAAATTTTGTATTTCTTTGTGGTTTTATGTTTTAGTAATTTATGTTTGATCAAACAATCCATTCTTCAGGTTTTCAAATTATTTTATATTCAGGTTTTAAAATATTTTAATAGAATTGATCAAAATAGTCTCATGATTTTTTTTTTTTCAAATGGGACTACCTTAAATTAAATTTTTTGCACAGCAAAGGAAACCATCAACAAAGTGAAAACACAGTCTATTAAATGGGAGAATATATTTACCTATATATCTGACAAGGGGTTAATATCCAAAACTTATAAAGAACTTATAAACACAACACCAAAGAAATCCCAAGCAATCAAATTAAAAAAAAATGGGAAAAGGATCTGAATAGCACTTCTCCAGCAATAGACATATGAAAAGATGCTCAATATCACTAGTCATCAGAGAAATGCAAATTAAAACCACAAGGAGGTATCATCTCACACCTGTAATAATGGCTACCATCAATAAATCCACAAACAAGTGTTGGCAGGGATGTGGATAAAAGGAAACCCTTGTGCACTGCTGGTGGGAATGCTCATTGGTGCATCCACTGTGAAAAGCAGTATGGAGTTACCTCAAAAAATTAAAAATGGAACTGGCTTATGACCCAGGGATTCCACGTCTGGGAATATATCTAGAGAAACCCCAAACCCTAAATCAAAAGAATATATGTACCCCTTTGTTCCTTGCAAGCATTGTATACAATAGCCAAGATTTGGAAGCAGCCCTAGTGCCTATCAGTAAATGAGTAGAGTAAAAAAGATGCACTTCATTTATACAATGGAATACTACATGGACATAAATAAAGAAGGAAATCTTACCTTTTGAGACTGCATGGATGGACCTTGAGGATATTAATACTAAGTGAAATAAGCCAGCCATTGAGAAATAAGTACCTCTGAATTTCACTCATATGTGAAATTTAATGAAAAAAAAATTAACAAACAAAATAGGAACAGACTCAGAGATAGAGAACAGACTTACTCAGAGGGGAGGGAGTTTAGAGCTAGATGGGGAGGGTGAAGGAATTAAGCAAAGAAAAAGAAATAAAGACTCATGGACACAAACCACAGTATTGTGATTGCCAGAGGGAAAGGGAAATGGGGATGTAGAAGAAGGGAAAGGGGGGATAAAGGGTGATGGAAGGAGACTTGACTTGGGGTGGTAAACACCCAGTACAATAAACAGATGATGTATTGTAGAATTGTAAAACCTACATAATTTTATTAATATTTCCCCAATAAACTCAATTAAAATATATCTACTCTATGTATCTGTATATTTTTTCATTTTCATTTTTTATGCTTTGTACTTTTATCTCTTAATTTAGCTTATGGTTTTCTATTTTTTTTTCTCTCAAAACAAATGCCTCTGAGTCTGCCTCTTTTCCTTATCTATATGTTTCTTTATATAGTTTTCCTATTATTTTGTAATCCTTTGATTTCTGTTTTTTATTATTTATGAATAAGTACTTAAGAATTTGAAATTTTCTCTGAGAACACTTTAGCTATGGCCCATATATTCTGACATGTAGTGTTTTCAAAGCTTATGCCATTCATTGCTAGTTTTAAGTGCATTGTAATTGGAGAATGTTATCCATATAATTTCCACTTTAGTGTATTTGGCCCTATTTCTTCTGTCGTTCTGTGGAATCCAAGGAAATTCCCCAGCCAGCTCACATACCCTTTCCTTCACCCACATAAAGTATTGTTAATTTTGTCCCTCAAGATTCACCACATACTTTGTATTTTCAGCATCTTCCATAACTCTAATTTTCTCCTCTATTGGCATGTTTTCCTCGTGGTTCAGCTTTACAGATGCTCCCTACTTCTGTCAGAAATGGAGCTTGTGTTCTTTCTCTCGTTTTTCTTGTTGTCTGGGGTGATAGCCAAGAGAAAAGAGGGTCAGAAACTTCTTTACTCTTTTAACTGGCAGGCGTGGGCATGCTGTTCTGCAGAGAACTTGGGGAGGTCATCAGTTCCACACTCATGCCTCCAGGCATCCCGTCAAACCGGACTTGTCTGCCAAGCCTGGTCAGATGGAATCTCTCAATGTGTGTTCACTCTTAACTCAGACAAATCAGATTAATTTCCCTTAGTTGCTTCTCCAAAAACTAGTTGCTCTGCATTTTCTCCCTTGTATTTCTCCTCAGCTCTTCAGCTTCTGGGGAAGGAGTATTTAAGCTGAATCTTCTCAGAACATTCTATGTCAGGGGAAAGCATTTGCAAAGGACTGAAGGTGAGAAAGTCTTCATTTTTGGGGAACTGCAAGAGGGCCAATGTGAGTGGCTTATCGCAGTGAGGAGATGAGGGTGAAGAGGACAGGATAGTAGGAAGTGAGGATTTTTAAAAAAAGTTAGTCTTGCTTACCTGGACTGTTGTACATCAGGGTCTTTAGGAACATTGTTAAGGCTTAACTAATGATGGGGATTAAAAATTCCATGACAGGAAAGTTTTTCAGGGTTGGGGATGTTAGCTTTTTTTTTTTTTTTTTTTTTGAGTTCACAAACCCCACTGCAGCAACTAGTCCCGCTGGAAACTGTCCCTGTGACACATCTGATAGCCCCCGTGCTCACCTCGGTCCTTGTCCTCATCACCTTCACTTCTGCTGTCTGCTTCTTGCATGTTGATGCTCTGTAGGCTCTGCCTTGTTCCCCTCCTCCTCCTCCTCCTCCTCGTTCTTCTTCTTAAATACTTTTATTAAATATAGAGAGGGATAGAGAGTTAGAAACATCCATGAGAGAGAGAGACATTGATCAGTTGC